AGGTGAAGGTATAAATCAACTGCAATTAACAGTGGACAGGCACTTTTGATCTGAAAATCAAGGGCAGGTAGATTTTCCCAAATCCATCTTTAGTTTCTTTACTAGTTCCCCTTTCCACAGAGAACCAGGTGGCAAGCAAAACCACATTAAACAGTCACTTAAAATATGGAAGCAAATAGAGAGTAGGACTTACTGAAGTTACACTGCCCACAACAAACTTTCTTTTGACACAGGCTCTATCAAGTGAAGGGGCACCCACTGCTCCCCCTCCTTGTTCCAAATGAAGCCAAGGCCCACTGCAGCTTCTCAGAACAGATGTGAATTATAGTGCCACAACAGCATTTCTCCTGTTCTCCTAATCTAATTATTGCTGAATGAGATACATGGGTGACAACAATGTGTGGTGGAGAGAGGAGTTTACAGGGAATACAAAGAATCCTGGGCCAGATTCACAGCAGTTTAACTGTAAAAGAGCAGCTCGACTTGACAGATGTAGGTAAGAAAAAGCTGGTATTTTCATTCAGCCATATAATTACATAAAGGTAACCTTAGAAGTAAGGTAACTTAAGCAGCAGCAATGCACCATCAGATCCCTCATTGCTGTGTTAAATGCCTCTTGAGAAAAAGTTTTCCACTGAGTAACCACACTCCAAGCAGCTCATCATTTTAACCAGTATTCTGTGACTATATAGGCAGGGCACTCTCCTTTCACCAGCCAAGTAAACTAGGTGAGCCAAGCCATATTTTACTACGTTATATAATTCAAGGTATGTCCACATTAGGGGTGCTGCCAGTATAGAACAAAAAACCCTTCCATAGCATTACAGCATCATACTATACTGGCAAAAAGAGTTGAGTCTATATCTCATTGAGAATAGTGACCACTCATGAGCAGCTAGACAAGTTACTTATATTAGCTCTGGCAGCAAGAGCCAGCGCTTCATTCTTGCATGTTTGGTATCCTTAAAGTATGATATATGCAGTGTATGTGACCCACACTTTTATATAATATACATGACAAGCATAACAGATGGAAAAGGAGAGAAAAAGATCACAGTTATTATATCATTGGTTTTTTGCTTACCACAAGTCCTAGCACAAGGGTACGTACTCTCTCCCCAATCTCTGGTGAAATGTCATTGCCAAACTGCTGTAAGGTTGTAAGAAATCTCTTCAGTTTGCTGAGTTGCCTAGCTCCACAAGCTGGCGGTAACTGCTGGTTAGCCAGAGAAGAGGAAGAGGAAGAGGATGGCCCATTGCTAAAGCCATTAGGAGGAGATGGAGCTCCATTTAACGCTGTTGGCGAATGGCTAGTGCCATTGGTTACTGAAAGAAAAAGAAAGGCGGATAAAATAGAGAGAGGAAGAGAGAGAGAGAGAGAGAGAGAGAGAGAGAAGGAAGACAGAGGAAAATCCATCAGCTTATGTTTTCTGTGCTTGACCTCAAAATTAATTAAGATGCACAATCAAAGATAATTAGCCTTTTGACAGAGCGACACTCTGCAGTTTATATCTGTTTCCCAGTAGCTGATACTGATTGGTGTGTGGATTGGATGTAACAGCAGCTCTCGCTCACACCCCCCAAAGTGCTCCTAAACCTAAAAAGCATAATTTCAACAAAAGCCTCTTGTCAGAGGATTTTAAAAAGAGAGAGGAACAAAGAGAAAAAACACGAGTGCATTTATGATTGAAGGCCAAAAAAAAATTGCTCTTTGAGGTAGGAAAAAAAATGCGCAGACATATTTCATGAAGCCTCAGTTTATCTCTGAATATTTTAACTTGTGTTTTGTACACACAACTGACAGCTGTGTTTATAAAACAGGACTTTCACGTTTTAACCTTACACCACCCAATGAGAAGGTTATTTTTTCCAAATCAGATTTCTTAGCTGCTAACATATGGAGCATACAAAGTTCTTCGTGCAGGTACAAACGATGACATGCTCACTGTGGCCTGAAGCCTGAAGCCTTGCAGCTAGAGCATGAAGCTAGACTTCACAAGACTTCTCTGAGACCATGAGCAAATAACACAGCTATTTTGTGCCAATACCCTATCTCTTAAGAGGGATAAGAAAGCATTCTCTTCCTGTTGCTAGGCTGATGAGAGAATAACTATCTGAAGTACCAAGTGTTCAAAATTATGGTGATGATATTCATGAGATATACTAAAGACAACAACAGACAGATTTTGGCAGCTATTTTGGTTTGATTCTTATCCACAATCCAGAACAGAGCAGAGAATGAAACTGAGGACATCCTTTTTCTCCCAGGTTACTTGGAACAGCAAAAGTCAAACACACTCTGTTGAGGTTGTTTGAGTCAAGACTCACCAAATGACAGCAACTAGCAAAAAAAAGGACGGCTCACTAGAAATCCGAACGTACCAGTGCACTGATAGCTGGGAGCACACAGCACATGACTCTACTCAGCAGCAACCTTGCTCCGCCAGTCACTGCTCTGGTGAAATTTGATTATTTCTTTTGGGGAAGTCACTCAGAACCCATCCCAAGAAAAACATCAAAAATCAGGAACCTCTCTACAACCAAAAATGCACAGGAGTATTAGTCTATATTGCTTCCTATTTAAAAGCATAACCATGGTGAGTTAGCAACTTAAAGAACTTTCAATGTTTCTTAGTGACTGGCCTCTCTGAAGCCAAACATCCCTCTCTGTTTGTCGTTTCCTCTAGCAGTCATATTTATGTTTTAGACAGCAAGTCCTTTTTGAGGATGGACACTTACTACTAGATTTAAATCACTATCTTATTGCCAAATTTTAACTACTAACACAATACTTTTGAAAGTGCTTTTGCTCTAGTGACTGAAGTGCCCTTCTGGAGGTACTACAAAAAAAGTTACCTGGATGGTTACCTAGTTTATGCTTGTTTTATCCTAGTTTTTTGTTTCCTGTTCTAGCTGTGTGGGCTAGGTAAAATAAGAAGTATAAAAAGCAAAATAGAAAGAAGTTGGTCTCAGCAAGTTCACCTCCACACTGTGCTCTCTGAGTGCTGCAGTAGAGTGAGGTCTGAGTAAACAAATACATCATGATTGCACGGACCTTGCACAGCCAGAAGTCATCATATAATGATTATATGATCGGGAAAAATAAAAACATGTCCTGCTCTACACTTACACCACCCAACAACTCAGTTTCTGTTAAGGGACTGCTCTAGGCAGTGTCCTGAGGCTAAAAAAGCTCTTTAGGCTCAAGAAAGTACAGAACAGCAGAGTTCATTACCTAGGAGAAGAAGGGAGATAAAATTTCTTCCACAACAAAAAAAATAAAGAAATACTCTACAAATACAGCTTCTCTAAACCACTTTCCCTCCCCTCCTTCCGACTGGCCCTCTCCCACCACACTAATGACTTTTTTGTCATTCTTTACAGTATCTGAATTTCCCAACTGGTAAATATTTGTGTCACTTATAAAACAAAGCTAAGTTATTAATAAAACAGAATTTAGCATTCTGAATTTTAAACTAATATAAGAGGTTTCACTAGTCAAAAAGAGGGAAAGAAACACACTCTTGACCAGAAAACATGTATGCTTCTAGTCTACAGGCATTGCCCCTGTAGTAATAACAAATGTAATAGCCACTCAAATAGAAGTGACTGTTTACTATACAAACTGGCCAAACTACAAAATCTGACAGGGTAAAAGACTTTTTTAGACTTGTAGTCTTCATATAAACAGCCAAAAAAAATCCAGCCATGGTTCACACACCTTCCAAAGTGTGGAACCCAATGAAGTAAGTAAACATCCAGAAATCTTAGGAGTACACTGAGGATTAAAAGAGTGACTGAAGAACACTGTCTTACTCCCTTTATTATTGCCAAAGATCATTCTGAACTGTGCGAAATGCATCACACTGGAAAGCTTAATCTGTGAAAGCACTATCCTGCAAAAACCTAGAAACAGTTCCTAGGATGATTCAGGTGCTGTAGTTAAGCACAACAGACAAATCTTTGCAGAATAAGGGTTACTGGGTTAAATTTGAGTGTATTTTAAGAGTTAGCACAAGCCATCCTTATTGTTTAAGTTCAATGTAAATTCTCAGGACAGGGTTCTGTGGGATAATGCTACAAAGGCCTCCAGCTGGCCTTCTGCACAGAGGTGAATTTGAATAAGGCATTTAACAGACAGAAAGGCACTAAACAGACATCAGCAAGACAAACAGAAGATGCTGCCTTCATTCTCTTTAGTCGTATGTATTCTACTGTTCTAAAAATGTTTTATTTAAAACGTGAAGAGTAAACACATTCTCATGTTTATACTACTACAAGGCAGTATAAAAGAGACCAAAAAAATTGCAGCTAAATCTTGGTAACAAAAATTTGGATCATTTCATGGCTGTGAAAAGAATAGTCCAGACAACATGCCAGATTCAAATCTCAGTTACACTGATACAAATGCAGAGTAATTCCATCAAGACTAGTAGTTTCTTGTGTGTTTGCATCAATAAACTGAGACAGGTTCAGCCCCAAGTGATTTATTGAAGTAAAACGGTCACAGGCTAGAAATCTCAAGATAAAACAATAAAAGGTCTTTACATTTTGTTTTATATCAGTTTTAACTAGACATCACATAGCACTTAAACTAGAATTCTCATTCAATCATAAGTGGGAGGAAGATAACTGTTTTCTTTATGAATTATCCCCACTTTGAAAAACAAACAAAAAAGCCTCGAAGACTTACTACTGAAGTTTTTTATCCAAAAAGGAACAGGATCCCTTAAAACAAAACAACAGAATGGCATAGAAGAGGAGAAGAAAGCTTTCTATACTTCTCACAGAAGGAGAGATCTAAGCATTAAGTACATGGGAAACCAGTGCTCCCAGCTCTTTGACACTGCAGCCAAGCTGTCAATGAAATAATGTAACTCAGAGCTGAAGGACTCAATACCTTAAAAGATGCATTAATCTGTTGTGATCTGAATTTTGCTTAATTACTTTATGACAGTACAACCAAATGCTGCTCCTGCCACATCACGTAGGTTTCTCTTAATCTGTTTTGGATTCTTACACACAGAATAGGGAGAATATGGAAGAAAAAGAGAAAAATAAGTCTAATTACACGTTGTGGGTGTGAATGAACTGGTTCTTGGAGCTCCTTGGGTAGTGGGAGGAGGTGGCATGGTTGGAGGCGTCAGCCTGGATTGTGTCTTCACATCCACAGGTGAGTCCGGCATTGTGGAATGCTTCTCAGTGCGATCTGTAACACACACGACAGGAACACACCAGTTTATTTCCCCAAGCAAACCCCCTCTGATAAAAACTTAAAAGCTAATACAAGAAGTGAGCCATTTCAGCATCTGCCACATAAGATTACCCCTGATTATCTACTCCAGTGTGCTCTTTCCAAATTACATCACCTAAACCTTACTTGAGAAGGTGTAACATAGACGGGAAGACCTCATTTGTAGCAGTGCAGTATTATCTTGTGTTTCTAGCATGTGCAGATGCTACTCCCAAGCACTCCTGGAGCTGCAATAATGCCACTTTCCTTCAAGGCTCTCACATCAGCCAGGAATTAAAAAAACAGATTAAGAGACAGGAAGGTAATAAATGCCACTACGACAGCTCTTGCAGAAATAAAACCTGAAGCTCTTTAGTACAGGTGAGGTATCGGGTGGAGTATTGGTTGAAGCCAGCTGTCTTCATGTTCTTTTTTTTTGCAATGCCTGCTTTCCTCTCCATCACTTCTTTTTGTATTCATGGAGAGATGCTTTTGTTAAATGCTGCGTGCCCCCTGGATTACCTTACCACCCTGCTTTTGGTTATTCTTATGTTTACCAGAAAAATTAACACAACACGCTGAAACACTTACATAAAATTTGTTTAACAAAAGTTTGCACCTTCACAAATTAACACTTTAATGTTCAAAACCTGCAAGATAAGTAGAAATATACCTCCCCAAGAAAAGAAAACAAACAAAAGGCAAAACTAGGCAGAAAACTTAGTACCTCTCTTGCAACTAAAGATGCAAGTCATTTGGTATAGTAACTATAGATGTATATCTTCTTTATCCAACATCTTTTTGGACACATCTAGGGTTTTTTTGTTTGGTTTTTTTTTTAAACCACCCAAACCCTTGCATTTAATTTATCAAGAATGGGCAAAACATTACTACAGTTACCAACTGAAAGCAAAAATAAGGCTTCCTTACTCATGCCGGGAGATTAGCAAGCCATCCTGCGTAAAGATGGGCAAGATCAGGTTTAGATTTTAATGGGCGAAAGTTAAATTCTTCAATCCCTTCTTTGGGGAGTCAGGTTTATTTATTTTATACACAGACCTAGACAAGTCTTCCTGAGCTCCATTAATATATTTTGTGAAGCAAGTAAATGTTTCTGCTAATGGGTAACTACGTAAATGTGTTTTTCATTCCAGACAATATCAAAGTCTGTCATGATCTATAAATTCTGCCACTTCAGTTTGTGACATGCTTTCCTTGTTCTTATTAAAACATACAAACTTCAACCAAAAAATCCTATCTAAAATTTGCTCCAAGAGACATTAAATGCAATGCATACATTTAACAAAGGAAAGATATGTTTAAAGGGACTTCTAAACAATTATCACAACACTTAATTATCAGAAAGTTTTATAACAAACAAACAACAAAAATTAACAATGCATAACATAAGAGATACCAATCTTTAGCTGCCTGAAGCTGAGTAAATATGTCCCAGAGATGCAATGCGTCAGGTACTGCAATTATAGAAGCCATCTTCACCCTTTTTAAAAATGCTTAGAGACGATGCTTCAGTTCTCAGGGAAATTCATACAGAATCTGGAGACAAGTTTGGAGATGAGCAGTGAAACACCCCCAGAACAGGATAAGGGGAATACTTATACAGTATTATAGGATCTGGAGTGTTGATCTAAGGTTAGTAAACCTGAGCTGTGTATCAAAAATGATTAGCTTAAATATTAAGGCTACTACACAGACAGGTGAGATTTGATTTGCAAATCAAGCAACAGTAAATTATAACATGCAGGAAAACAAAAGCAAGTTTTTAAACATACTGTATATAAATTTTCTTTCCATATCACTATACCAAGACATTTAAATCTATTTCTTCAACAAACCATTCATTTAAGATAAAGAACTATGAAAACTCATCTTGAAATGTTAATTGCTTCCTTAATAGCAGAATTCATCTTGCACTCACCTCAACCAACCTCAGCAACAAGGGAATAAATAGCTTTCAGCTCATGTTTCAACAGAGGGAAAG